TAATTAACCGACACGGCGAGGATAATTAGATTTTTATTCATCAACCAATTCGATAAAGCAACGCCTGGATGTGTCAACAATAATTGAACGAACACATTAAAACCGACTCGACGTTGAATATTTAATTAATGTCCGCAAGTTTTAACTTTCAATTAACATACCGTCAACAATCGTAAATGTATCAGTTTAGAACGTTTCTGTTATAAGTCCATATTACTTTACTATAGGCAAAATGGAAAATCGCTACTTTTACATCTACATTGTGGTAAATCGCGGTAAAAACGTCTCCCCTATATGCAACAAAACAAAAATCTCCACGCAACTTCCACATCTCTGATGTTTGGAGCAAACAATAAAAAAGGGGGTTCAATATCGGAAGACTTCTATGCATGTGCTTCCATCATTAGTGTTTCGAAGAGTTACGTTTAGCGTTTTACATTAATTGCAGCGTCGTTTTCGTCTCGGTAAAAGCGAACGCACCTCCACCGAACGCTTTTACCCGGCTTTTATAAAAACGATACGTTCGAAATCACTTTAGCATCGCCAGCATTTAAGAGACCACTCGGGATACAAAAGAGTTTCGCAATTCCGCCTAATGGGCACCGAAAGTATCCAAAAAGGGACCTCGCAAAATACTTTTTCGCTGTTATTTTTATTCACAATATAATATAGATGTAACAACTAATTACATCCCGTTTTTACATTTTGAATAAATTGAATTATAACTGAAGATTTTATTAGGCTTTATTTTGAACTAAACTTTGCAATTGCCGAGTTATGTGTACGAAATACGCACTTGTGAAAAAACCTGTTACGCTCGACGGGATGCGAGGAGCTGCCAAAAATGGAATTTCGATACAAAAAATGTGGAGAAAAAAAAAATAAAACTCGATACAATCCACACGCAACGTCGACACGACTAAATTGCTACTGGTTTTTGGGATTTAATAACATCGAGGAGCATAATATACCGATCAGCTGGTAAAACTCAGTGTCGCAACTCGAGAAAAAAAAATTCAATTACGGTCATTCTAAAGTTAATTTTAATTTTTTTTGTTGGTTGTTAAGGAGCTCGCCAGGCCATTTCTCTTTTCATACTCGGATGAAAAATCCAGCGTAGGTTCATTTTGTGAAAAAAAAAACATTCAACTTTAGATCTTTCTTCGTATGGAAGCTCAATAATTAGCATTGTTCGAAGGGGGTGTAGAGCCTTCGAGCGAACACGGGGATGAATTACGGTGGCTACTTATTTATTGGAGAGCCGGAAGTGTAAGTAGGGAACGTCCCTCTCTGGGTAGTGGTATTGTGTCGACGATCGGGACGTGTCTTCGATTCGAATCGCCTTCATCAAACCTCTACCTGGCTTGAATTCCAAATCGTTTCGGATGGTTACCGACAGACTTATTGGTTATTCAGAAAGGGCAGAGATTTTTTCCAACACGATTCTCGAACCGTACAAGGTTGACTTCTAAATAGAGAAATTTCTAATAGCTCGAAAGTCGAAAATTTTCGTCGTTTGTTTGTATAAAGATCCATGAAACTGCTCTCATTAGGACGGTTTTTTTTACTCGGAGGAAACGTCGTTCGGTGTAATGAATGTATAAAGATCGTCTGCAGCGCGTTTTATACGAATGCGTTTCGACGCTATTTTAAGATTAGTTGTATCTAAGTCTATTTGCGGGGTCAGGGCGTCCCAAAGGCGGCGTCTTTACGCCTAATTGATGTTTAATTTCACAGCGTCGGCATGTTAAACTTCATCGCACGAGACCAGAGTTCGTCGATGTATATTCCAAAGAAAACCGTCTTCATTTATTCGGATAAATTACCATCACAAACTTTGAAACTAAATAATTATTACATACCTAAATCTACAGGGTTTCATAGGGAAAAATAAATACGTGTATACAAATTATGTACTAAAAAAACTACTGCAGTATACTATTGTTAGTGATTGAATATGGTTCAAACAGGAACCACAAGAAACTAATAAGCGGTATATTTGATTTGGAGTTCGAAAACAAAAGGCACGAATGGTGTATGTGCGGTTGGGAAAAACCGAGATCAATTTCCATGGTTTACGTTTCGAATTTCATTTAACGTTCAATACTATTCAACGCAGCTTAAAATACTTCACCGAAATACTCCGGTTGGTTAATTATCGAGTGGTACATCGAAAATTGTAATCAAAATCTATTCGCTTTGTTTGCGTTATATTAAAGGCGGAAGATCAGAGGAACTATTTATGTAGGAGGCTTGAAGTAATTAGATATTAAACACAGGAACTAGTATGTCATCGAAAATGTTCCGTACTATACCTATCAATTGGAATAAAAATATGTCATAAAATGCGTCGGGGCCCCAGGAAGTTTTATCGATTATATTTAGACCTCTAGGTATTTTTAGGAATCTTACTGTCCGTTTTATGAACGTGGAAGCGGTTTCGACTTTTAAACGAAACGGAACTATTAAATAAACGCTCGAAGATCGGCGCCGCACAATGATTTATCATTTCTTGCACGGGAAAATTAAAGTTTGCGTTTGATGATAAAGTTTCCGAGACCAGACACCAATATCGTTGCATAGACACAATTTCCTTCCCGAGTCGAACGCATTGACGGGGAATCGAAAAACATGATTAACATCGGGTTTCTTATTACTAAGATAAAGAGAAGAAAATAAGAAGGACGCGATATGTACGTATGGGTATAGACACCGAGCAACACAATCACGCACGAATCGAGAAAAGTTGACCGATGGATTCGTAGAAACGCGACTCGCTCGGTACCGTTCAAAATTTCATTGGACGAAAATCACGAGTTACGGCCGTTGAATCATAGGCTATTCTGCATCTCGAAAGCCATGAAAGATGCTGGCTGGACGAAGATTATTATTAGTGGAGTCATACGATGATTGCTGAGCAGCAGTAAATAAAAATTTAATCAAAATTTTTAATAGAATTCGGAACACGTATTATTTACTGAAAATCGCTAAATAATATCATTTCATTAAATCGACTATACAATAAGTAATTTAAAACATCTTTTTAATGTATAATTATGGTAATAACTAATGTTCGTACGAATAATGTTGGTACAATTCTTAATTACAATAGATTTAAAGAGTTAATTACTCGACGCTTCCAATAATAAATCGTTGGCGTTGTTGCCAAGTGAGAGCGGTTGAAAAGGCGTTATGGGCCGTTTTCTCGGTCTTATCGTATATTTAAATTGTAAAACGCTTGCACGGATTTAGACAGCAGCGCGCCTTCTCACCTTCTCTCGTGGGCGTTACTGAGATAAATTAAGAAGAAGAAAAAATATCGAAAGGAAATAGGTACTCACAAAAAAATATCTCACAACACCAGCCACAAAAATGATGTATATTTTTTCGAACTTTAACGCTTTATTACAATTAATTAAACTAGTCAATTTAAAGCATACATCAGGATTAATTAAACTAGTTTAGATTTAGACGTCGAAAACGACCAGTAAGGCATTAATCAAGTACCGAAGCGTTTTTGTATGTACCCATAAAACGGTTATGCAGATGATCCCCGGCTTCGTATCCATCTCGTTATCTTGGCATCAATTAATTCCGTAATAGTTGATACGACATACGCAGTCACAAATCGGCTATTGAACCGACCAACCTTCGATCTCTTTGACCCGACTTGTTTTTACTGCCCCGCCGTCAACCTTTTATAGTGCGGCGACCAAGTCGCCTTTTCGCCCGGATTCGCGCTCGCCGTTTATCCCAAGGATTTTATTTAAAAAGTGAATTCCCAATTTACCCAAAACACCTTCCAACGTTAGAAGATAAGTTTGGGTGAACACTAAAGAAGTAGTAGAAATAATTATTAACCAAGTTCTTACATTACCTAACGAGTAAAAAGATAAATTTCGTCTGGATCAGAGAAGGGTATTATTTAACACCTGTTATTAAATTTTCTATTAAAAATTAATTACTACATCTGCCGTTGGTGCGACTATTTTATCGACTCATAGATCATATTTAATTACATCTTAGATTTGTTAATTTAATGCCGTCCATTTTTGTTGTATGGGAGATTAGACGATGGCGATAACACAACGACGTCCTGAAGTTCTGATATTTAAATTGTGAAATTGTAAGAACGGTCGTTGTCGTTACGCCCGGTGACGGGGACGTTAACCAGGAGGCAGTGCGGGACCTCGTTATGCAACCAGACGACCAACAGCAGACAACGGAATGGTACCCAGAGGGCCTTTCTTTCTCTCTCGACTCGTCGAGAAAAAATCGACCCGATCACCAATTTAAAAAGCTATTTTCTAATTTGGTATGCGCCTTTTTCACGCTTTTTCAACGCGGCGCAAATCATGGTTTAAGTGGTTTTTAGTGTGGTTTATTCTCTCACAAAATCACTTTCTGATATTCGAACATCGATCGATTCACTTATTAAGACAATGCACTCTTAATTCGTACTATTCTAGTCCAATTATGAAGATAGATAGCGCGCTTGGGTATCTACTTATTTTATAAACAGACACTCCTGCGCCATAAAACATCACCTATAAACCTCCACTTACGGCACCTAAGGGTAATATTTATTAACGAACGTGAAATGAAATTTGAATATTCATTTAACGAATTATTTATGCACAACCAGTTATTCGAAACGAATTGACACGTACGTAACAAAAAAACACGCCGTATACTTCACTTAAATAATGCGTTTGGTCATTTTGGGGGGTAAGTCGTAAATCATTTCTTGAAAAAAAAGAGCAGGATAACCGAACGCACAATTTCGGAATTATTCATAAGAACACTTTGAATTAATATTAATATTGTTGGAGTTATTTATGATCAAAATGATTAACGGAAATCCTATAAAAACGCTGTTATACTGAATGGAATAAGTATGGGCGCATTTAATTTTTAACATCCCCAAATAACCACAATCATAAGAGACCTTAAATTTCTTCTTTTTCATCACCAACAAACATCAATCAAAATACTCAACAATTTTCAATCATCAAGCAATTATTAATATACCTACCAATAAAAATTTCAAGTACCTAACACATCACAACCACCATGCCCTGCAATAGAAAATGCGAGCTGGAATGCTGCGGTAAAAATCACGCCCATCCCGCGAAAGTAAGGCAACTCGAATGCAAATTCAAGAAATTCCAATTCGCAACATCGGACTCCCTGTTAAAGAAGTACCTAACGTCGAAACTGTTTGAAGAACTGAAATGGAAGAAGACCAACTATCTAATGACGCTTCTGGACTGCGTTCTAACAGGATTCGAGAACCCGGATTCCTCCATGGGGGTATACGCCGGCTGTCCGGAATGCTACGACCTATTCGGCGACTTGTTCGACGAATTAATCCGCGAGTACCACGGAGATTTCAAAAAATCCGCCGTCCACCCGCCGATGGACTGGGGCGAGCCCGGCCAACTCCAAGACCTCGACCCCGAAGGGAAATACATCATATCGACCAGAGTAAGAACGGCTAGATCGTTGAAAGGCTACCCGTTCAACCCAGGTTTAAGCTACGAGGAATACTTGGAAATCGAAGAGAAAATCGTCAACGCCGTAACGGAATTAACCGACGACCTGAAAGGCCAGTACGTGGGTCTCCGGGATATGACTCCCGACGAGATAGACCTAATGGTGGACTCGCACGTGCTGTACAAAGAAAGCGATAGATTCCTAAACGCTGCCAACGCTTACAGATACTGGCCGGCGGGCAGGGGGTACTTCTACAACGAGGACAAAACCTTTATAGTGTGGGTGAACGAAGAGGACCACATGCGCGTCATATCCATGCAGGAAGGCGGCAACTTGGGCGAGATATACGACAGACTGGCCAAGGCCATTCAACAGCTCGACGAGAAATTGGAATTCGAACGGCACGAGCGTTTGGGATTTTTGAGCATGTGTCCGACCAATGTGGGCACCGGCATCAGGGCTTCAGTGCACATCAAACTGCCCAATTTGGCCGAGGATATGGGCAGCTTGGAGAAAATCGCCGAGGAGTTGCATTTGCAAATTAGAGGCAGCGGGGGCGAGCACACTGCTTCTGTGGGTGGTATATTAGATGTTTCTAATAAAAGGCGCTTGGGACTCACGGAGAGAGAGGTCATCCAGGAAATGAACGATGGTGTACTGGAGCTTATCCGATTAGAAGGCTCTAAATAACGATATTTATGATGTAATCAGTTTTTTTTTCGAGTATTAAAACAAGAAATATATGCGTGGGTATATAACATGGTTTTAATAAATTCGTGACACCTAGTTTAACTAAAAATCGGTTATAATAAAGGATGATTATTACATTTAAAGCACGCTTGGTGGGTATATCTTATATAATTATACATTAGATATAATTACTTAGGTATATTGTAGGTGTAAAAACCTACTTATCAATTTCAAGAACAAGATTAAATACCTTAAGGAGATCATGCTGTAATTCTGCTGTAATCAATGGATAAAAAAATCCCGCGTAAATACGGAAAGAGGGAATTAAAAATTTCTGATTTATTATCAAATGTTTGGACTTTATCACTTATAATTGATAGCGTTTCGCAATCGAGTATCGCTATAAAATGATAAAACCCAATAAAGATATACATCTAGCTTTAATGAAATGATAGTTGTTTCTTTAAAAATATATCGAGAATTAAGAGTTCACGATCAAATTTTTTATACAATTCTGTAGACGAATGTACAGGGTACTTATTAAAATTTTGCTAATATTTCAGTGATGTTGTAACTATTTTAAAGGGAAAAAATTAACTTGTGATGGTAAATTCCAATAAGCCACATAAAATAACACAATAATCGAACGACGTTGGGAAAGAAATCAACAAAACCGACTATTTTTGTTAAAGGCTCTCTCCAGTTAGAGAAACTTCACGGCCACCTGATCGCCAATGCGATAAATCCAAACCTGTTTCACCTCCGAGAAACACCTTTTAGGAGCTTCTCTGGCTATATTATAATTAAGTACCAACAACCGAACTGACTACGGTACGGCCGAGGCTAATACGCGCATACGCATCTAACTATGCTTCGTTATTTCGGTCATGTTCAATGGGTACCCTCTTTCACGAAGGAGATATAGGAATTCGGGTATGCCCGGTTCGAGAGAGCGCTAAACCGCATTCCAAAGGTCGTTGTACAACAAACGAAACACTGCTTAGGCGCTTCATCCCCTTTAACGAGACTATACGCAGGAACGGATTCGATTTTTTCTTCGCCCAATCAAGCTAATAGAGCTATTGACATAAAAAATGTGATAAATTAATACCAGCTAATTAAAAGAGGAACAAAATGAGATGGCACGTTGGTGTTCATTATCACCATTTTATTAGATAATATACATAATTATCGATCGTTAGGAATAAGTATCGAAGTTCCCTGGTATTCGCTATCTAATAACGCTTTATCCGGTTTAATTTACGACTCGATTTGGAAAAAAGCCTGTTTACACTATTCGAGAGAAGCTGTAATTTAAATGTTCAAATATAAATATTGTGTTTCATAATAGCTGAGGCAGACTAATAAATTCAAAGCAGATACAGGCCACGAGATAAGAACGGCGCCGATACTAACGCACTCGCACACACAGATTTCGAACTGACCAGGGCGAAAAAAAAATCATGATTATTTTTATTTTCTAATTCGTTTCCGATGATTGATCGGTTACATATCAACAAACCCGGGTGGGCGATTTTCTTGTCTTGTTTTAAAAAAAATCGTGTATTGCAAACTAATTTACAACCTCTGCTAGACGCTAATTAAGTGTTAATTGACTTGACAATCCTTCATGCGTCAGTTACTCAAATCTTGAAGTTAAAAAGTTCAATATATTCGCATAAATTAGTATTTTCGAAACGCCGTACATCCCCGATATTTAGACCCCCAGGGCACGATAAACTCTTTCATATTAAGAGGAAAAAACCGGTAGCACATACGCGAGAGTGACACGGTAACAACTCCGACCGGTGATGTCCTTTCCATTGTTTCCACCGCGGATATCTAGATCTCTTCTACGGATATAAAGGACGAGCTGATGGAAAGAATAACCCATCAAGTCGCGTTATCGGTTGCGGGGAGTTCATCGCTCAAACTTAAACGATTCTTTCGAAATATACGCACACGAATTAGCGCGAACGAGAAATTGTATGAGAAAGCAAACTTACCATTGATACAGGGATGGGTCCACCTGCTCCATTGGCGTAGCTGTATGGCGACATGAGGTATCCCATGTTGAATGAAGACGTGTGGGGAACAGGTTCCACCTTGCCTGTAAATAAATTTATTTAAAACAATTACATCAATTAACGCTCGTGATAATGGAACGCGATTCCGTTTCGAGCGATTTTCGCGAATTAGTGATTTCGAAAATGTAATTTTCCAGTCGCCAAGTCGGTGGAAATTACACGTTGCGGTTTAAAATACAAGAAGACGATGTTCTCGGTGTGTTTGTGTTTACATTCGTTATGCGGCCATGCACCGGACTCGATTTTAATGAATCATGTGAAAATATAATGGAAGGTTAGTCTTTCCCATTCGACACGTATTATTTTATAATTTGTACTGCGAAAGCGTGAGCGCCTCGCAGGGCATCGACGGCAGGGAATTTACCGCGATGGATGTTCACACACACACACAAACACTGTATGCATATTATATCATTTGCTTTATTTCAGAGAATAGCTTATTAAATGCAAAGTTTGCATCAAGTGCTACCTAACCCTCCTGTTATGTTACTTTAAACTACATAATTAGTATAATAAATAACTAATATTATATTAATAGCCTCATCACTCGTACAAGTAACTTTTAGCGCAACTGATTTATCTAAAATGTCACACCAAAGAGTCGAGGGGTTAAAAAAAACGTATACGAAAAAATAGACTGTTTTATAAACACACCTTAGATTATTTACGATACGTGGAGAGGTAATTTATTAGGGTCATTGGTTACCTAAAATTATCGACTGCGGTTCGTATGTATAACGATCGTTCGCGTCAAAATTTGTCATGTTTTATTTGGACAGGTGCGACAGAAGGTGCAGGCATTTTCACTAACGAAAGGCGTCTAAAAATGGGACCCCACATTGCATACAGGGTTAAATTTAAGTTGCATAAATTGAATTGCAACAGCAAACTGTTAAACTCGTATTACCAATCATGTTTGAAATTGTAATTAAGCGGACGCTTTAAAATTAATTGATGCAACAATGAAATGTTTAAAATAGCACAGTATTAAATAATACGCAATTGTAAATAGAGTAAATAATTTTTTATCTTACCGAACACTGGGCTGTGGTCGGGTCGCTGCACATGTTTGTTGGTAGAATTGTAGTTTCCACCTCCTGATTTTTCCTGAAAAAAATACGAAAAGGGAATTTACTTTCTTAGTCTTCGATAAAAGTACTATTTAGTAACACACTAAAATTAATCTTGCATTTAAAAAGAAATTTTATTTGTTTACAAGATAATAGTGTTTATACAAATTTGTGGATAAATTGTAACATAGCAATTTAGTATCCTAATAAGCAATACATATGTTGAACTTAAAACCGCAATAACCGATAAAATGCATATTTGATGATTAATTATTATCGATAAATTAGATTTATAATTAGAATTATAATTTGGTGTTATGAAAGATGTTTTTTAATATAGATAACAACATGTAATATTTCAAGAACAGTCTAAATTTGAATGTAATTTGTATGCAATCAAAACGCTTATTAAATTTGGAAAGTACATTCCTCTTCAACATTTTGACATACTGCAAAGATTTTAGATAAACACTCTCAAAACTCTTCAAGTACTGATCTGATAAACATGTGCAAATCACATGACAAAAACTCAAAATCCACATGGATGTTCCCAGAATTAACCTGGCAAATTTTTACAGAACTATGCGGATGATGACCAAGTTCTGACAAATATCTAACTTATTATAAAACATTAGCACTTAAAATTACAAAGAATGGAAAAAATAACGCTACGTTACAATTAGGCATTGTGAAAACATGCAGCTTTGATGTTTGGACTCCACGCAAGTAATACACTTACATCTTTTTCAACAAAACGAGAACAGATAATAATTAATGAGGACTTATTCATTAATTATAGCAGGAAATTAATTGAAACAATGAAGAAGTTAACCTTACGCTTGACCCGAGAACTCTAAACATCTATTTTATTCCGAAGGAATAAAAATACTGTATTATCACTTTATTGGGGATTTAGTAGGTTTTCTTAATTTGTGAGATTTTAAATCTAAAATATGACAGGTGCGTGTAGAAATGACGTTGACGTTTCTAATTCCAATGAAAACGTGATGATTGCACTGAATTTATTGTTGAAGATTAGGGTATAAGCTTGATTCGAGAATTTTATTTATTTACCTAATTGAAGAATTAAAAAAATGCTTATTAGGGAGATAATATATTACGGAGTTTGTTAGTAATTTATTTTTTATTCTTATTAAATTGCGATTTTGTTTTGACAGTTGTTATTAAAAATGATATTGACGTTTCCACCAATGGCAACACGATGCTTGGAATTTATTTATTAAGAACAAATATTTCACGTTTTAATGCTTGATTTGAATATTGCGATTACTCTAAAAACAATTTAACACTAATTTTGGAATTTGTCGGTATTTTATTTCATAATTTAATTACGATTAATTTTATTCAAAATTTTGATTTTTTGACAGTTTTGAACGTCACTGGAAATGACGTTGATGTTTCCAATACAAATGAAAACATGTGAATGTTGAAGATGATTTATTACACTAGGCGATTTTCCGCTAGAATTTTCTTTCACTACACGCGCCAACTTTAAACAATAATTCACGGACATCAATTTGAATATACTGTGACAAATTTGATTAGGATACGTTTGAAGAAGTCGTTGACTAAATTTGCTGTCAAAATAAAACTTTTTAGTTTGCATCTCGGTTGTATCACGGTATCTAGATTTTGGATAAATGAATGTCACGTTTAATATCCATACACTTGCGGAAAAACATATGTACATTTGAAACATAAATGCGGAAATTGTGTGTAAACCAAACACACTCGTACTGTTTGGATAATGATAATAACACAGTGAATGTAATAAAAGCAACAATTAATTAATATATTCATCTTAAAATGTTGTGTTTATTTGCACGTTGATAGGTAGAAATCCTTTTGTTGTTGTTGTTTTAGGTATTAAAAGATGACATCGTGGATGTTATAAGTAGAAGAAGGAAACGTCGAGACGAGAGGCGAATTATTTAATTTATTACCTCTGATTCAGTGAGGTCGATAAGACTGCTTTTCTCCTCGGTGAGGTTCTCAGAGGACCTCTTCTCGTCCTCCCCGTCACCCTCGTCCTTGAACACCTTAACCTCATCGGTGCTGCCGAGATCATCTCCGCCACTGGACGAGACGTGTGGCATGGTTCACTTGAACTCGCGGTACAGCGGCATATCACAGCCACATTACATAGCACCACTATCTGCATTCGCGCGCTTTCATGGCAATCGTCGCCGTCGGCATACCTACTGTCACCCGCGAGCAACGTCACCACGGCCCAACCAAAAAGAAAACGACGACCTGGCGCAACAAACGGCACCCAGAGCACGTGCCCGCGTAACTGGCTCCCTCGCTAACTGAGCACTGAGCACAAACTGGCGGTGGCGGTGTGCGGCCCAGGCAAGCGCGTTCCGAAACGTCTGTGTCGGCGCCGACGCCGCCGACCAATCACCGCCCGGCTTTGATCCGCCGAGGCGGCTCGCTGGAAATATGGCAGCTCGGACGACTGCGCACGACTAACGCCGAAACCGGAGATATCTCTCCCGACCGAACAGGAACGGATTCCGAACGAAGCACGCGAATCTCTTTTTCTTTCGCCTTCCGAATACGCGTTTACACTACCTTTTTTTTACGCTCGTTATTTCTTCTATATTTTTACCAAACACCGCAGTTTCATAGATTAGATTCTTTCGGATATCCTATAAAAAACTTGTTAGTTCTATTGTTTAGATCATTTGGTTATAAATCATCAGAGCAGAGCAGAGATACCTAAGGTAAATTTCAAAGATCCAGGTCTTATCTCTACAAAAGCAGGTCCATCTACAAAACCTGGTCCCTCTAGAGAAGCAGGTCCCTTTAGATAATCAGATCCCTCTATGGAACCGCCCCCAGAACCAGGTCTGTGTGGTCTCTGTGGAATCAGAGAGAGAATGCCTCTGTGGAGAGACCTAGTTCTGGGTAGGAACCAAACCCCGAAATAGAACCAACTCGCTCCAATGAACCGGATCCCTCCAACTTCCAATGAACTCATTGAACTGGATCCTTTCATTGGAATCAATGCTTCCATTGAACTCGATATATTCAATTAACTGGTTGCTTTCATTGCATTCTATCCTTCCATTGAACTCAACCCTTCCATTGAACCAAATAAGTACTTCCATGGAGCAGTTCTTACTATACAAGTAGCTACTACTTGTCATTAATTTTTTGGGCATTGCATTAGAAACATATAATTATGGTTGGATTTTTGCATTGAAGGCTTTTGTTCTTTTTAAAAATGAAGTCAAAATACCCAGAATTTAAAATTATGCAGAAATTCACCACGATGGTTTGTTTGGCGCAGAAGATAATACTTACAATTAGGTATAAAAAAAGAATGAATATGAAAATATAGTAAACAACAAAATGTAGGTAATTAATAATTAGAAATTACTTTATAAAATAATAGAAAAATATTAGTACCGATCTATCAGTAAAACTGCTAATAATGGTACTAAACGAAACATCTGGTACCGGCTCGAAATACCATTTAATCCGCGCCTGTGCACATCATTATGTTTGTGATTAATTTCTCCTCCAGACATTTATTTTACTAATTTATGGGCTGTTATTTGCAATGATCAACGGAGGGACAGTCTCCTTCTTCTTCTCGCCACTTTTCTCCGTTCCCGCTCGGCGCGGTACCAGCACCGGCGGCAGCAGCAGCAGCAGCAGCAGCGCCGGCGATCGGGCCGGGCGTGTGCGTGCGTGAGGCGCGTGAAAATGCGAGAAAAATCGGCGAACCAGCAACGCCTCGAAAAACGCATCGCACGCCGTTCGTTGATCCACCGCACAGCGCCGAAGACTGGACCCGGACCCCTCGCTTCCGACGTCAGCGAGCCATCGACAGCGTGCATTGTGAAGTGAGGCTTCGGACCCTTCACCTTGACCTCTATCTCTTCCTAATGATAATTGTCGAACGGAGTGCACGCCTCGTTTTTTGTATTGTTCGGTGCGTGCACGGTGCATAAATTAGGCGGGACATCTCTTCGGCTCCTCCGCATCGTATACGAAATTATAATTCGTGTAATATTAGATAGTCGCCTAATTGGTGGTGTTGCCTATTACAAAAGTCACCAGTCAATGATGCGTCGTAACTAAGGGCCTGACTAAACATTCGACCCTTCATGAACCCCCTACCGTTTTACCCGAAAGCAAATATTTTAAGACGTCTTTACTAGGAAATCGGGGATGGTCTTTGTCACGAATTACATGCCTCTTTCTTGCCTTTTCAAACGATAGATTACGGCGAAATCCGAGATTTTACACTTTCCGATAGTCGTTGTGTATATCGGGAGGTATAAATGCTTAATAGAATTGTATGGGTACGCAGGTATTCGGTCACAGTGAAAGCCGATGCTATTTCCGATTCGTACATGGGTGGTTTGTTTGTTTGATTCGATTTCGTTTTTTTTTCTGTGTAAACAAGACCAATTTTCTACCACTTGAAATAATTCACATCTTTTAGACAGACCGAAATTATATAAAACGGTTCGTAAAATATTTATTCTTCTACCGGGACAATAAACATTACAATTACACGTGCTTGAATAAAATTAGGACGCTCACAAAATTCAACTGCACAGATTTGTCCTGTTCCGTTCGATTTCGGTTTTAAGGGCAATAAGTATGCTTCTCAGATCTTTCCACAAATATTCGTACTGCTTAACGTTCCAATTAGTATCTGGAAAATTTCAATTAGGAGAAACTGTTCAATTTCATTTGGGCGCACCGTTAAAGAATTTTGATTAATATCCGGTGGAGAAATCAAACGCATTTAAAACTAGGATGCCAATCAAAAATCTTTAATATGCAAAATTACATCGAGTTTAAAACCATGCAACACATATTTTTTGGATGTTAAATTTTAAGATTAACCCGTAAAAATACTAAACCCGTAAGACACTCAGATGAAAAACATTAATATATTTCCGATCTTATCCTGTATTAATTAGTCTTCGTGTCTTAAGTTGAAGTAGGGTTGTCTAACCTTCGTGAGTTTTGGAAATTGTATTGTTCGCGACGAGTTCTTCTGCGTTCTTCTGCCTGCACTCGTTCGAACCTTCAACGATCATCGTTTCCTTCTTCTCCACCGCTTGAGGAACACATTCCGAATTTTTCTTTGAATATTGCGAGAAAATCGACGCCAGCGATTCTTTAGCGAAATCTGGAAAAGTTCGAATCGTTAAAAACGCGCTTTTGCCTCGCCTCGCGGGTACTCACGTTTGCTATAATCTTCTTTCAGAGTTTTGCGATTTAATTTCTCTATCGTTGCGTCCCCGGAAAGCAGAACGTTGGGATCCAAAGTGGGCAGTATGTCCTCCATTTCTGATGGTACTGCGGAGGTCGTCTCTTCTTTAATCGGCTTCGGCAGTTTTGGTTTTTCGCGTTCGATAACTTTTAGTGTGGCTTGTTTTTCCAACCCTTAAATTAAATATTTAATTGGTGCTATAAATAAGTGTTTTTTTGCCATGAACCTGGAGCTCTAGCGAAAGAGTTGCTGTTGAAAGGTGGCAGTACTGGCAACATGAAGTTCCTCCTGTAATTGTTCTTCTCTTTGGAGAAGCTGGCGTAATCCATGCGGACGAATTGTTCAGTAAAAGGTACCACCACGTACAAATAGCCCTGCTGGAATTGACTGGCGTCGTCTAGTACATCCCCATAGATCGAGCAGATGTTTTGAACTCCTATATACGAGGATAATAAATAGTTTTTGTGGATATATAGCGAGTGGATAAATCTCACCCTCGGCTATACCCAACAGCTTCGCTAAATAATTACGAATAAGGTTCCAGTCTTTCATGTCTTGCTCGTTGAAGATGACTTTCTGCGGAGGCCTCGTCTTACCGCTGATCGCTATATAAACAACAGTCAGTTTCTTCTTTTGCATGACCTGCAGGAACGGACGACTCTTCGGATTTAAATCGCCTTAGATGCAAATGAAATGAAATTAATAAGCTGGTTAATAAGCTTTAGTTGAAGACGTACCGACGTAGAAACATTTCTTGTACGACCTCTTCTGCTTGACCTTATCCTGAGGAACGGTCTCGTACCCGCCCGGCGGCTCCTTGATCTTGCAGCTGGCGCCCAGCGCCACGTACTTCTCGTTGGGGTCCAGCTCCTCGAAGGAGTTCACCGAGCGCATGGTGCTCAGCGCCACCAGCTTCTTCACCAGGCCGAAGTTCGGCTGGACGACGTTGGTGACGTGGGTGAGGATGGGCGGCCAGCTCCTGAAGTCCTTCGGGTTGATGGTCACCGGGTAGCAGCGCGACTCGCCGTTGATCCAGGTGTTGATCTTCTTCGTCTTGCCGAACTCCGGCTCGGCCAGCACTTCGAACTTGAATTTATTCTTCGGCTTCATGGCGAGTACGAAGAAATTGCGGCTACTGTTAATTTGGGATTTGTTAGAGAAAAAAGTGGTGAGTTTTGATGCGATTAACTAAAATCAATTTGACATTGTGTCTAGATATAATTGTCGTACTGGAAGTACGGAGGTTGGGAGCTAAAGGATACAGTAACTAAGTGTGTAGCTTATTTATTTATTTCATAGAGTATTTTTTTTTAATTAAAATATATAACTTTTGGACGTTTGTTTTTGTATACTATTTTGTCTTACAATCATGGAGAATTGTTGAAATTATATTGGCTCTCGCAAATCCCAATTTTACTAGGTATATTTGATATATTTTTACTCTACTCTATAAAATATAAAATAGGAGTTGTATGCCGTATACTCTATGTTTATTTTTTTCGACTGGGCGTTAGATTTCGATGCTGCTTCCGTTTAAAACAAAATCTCGTATTTGTTCACGTGAATGTGTGAACTTGCAACGGTCTAAAAATACTCGGTACCTTCTGCGTTCGGTAGGAAAAAGGTATCATTAACACGTCGTTTCTTTGTTTTTCTTGAAAAAACAAACACCGCCAGAGGTATACCAAACTGGCGCTAAGGGAAATGTATGTAAATTTATGTACTGCATTGCTAGAATTTCAACGTAATTTCTCCGCTCTAAATGCATGCCGGTTTGAGGCTCTAATCAGCTGGATTAATTCGATGAATTAAAATATTTAAAATGAGCGAATAGTTTCAAAATATAGAAAACGACGAAACGAATTAGTCGATATCCGGTCGTCGTCGGTTCCAACATCGACCACGCATCCAATTTTTCACCAGGACCCATCATAATCATTATCATTATGAATCGAAATGGTCCTAAACCAACAAAATCTACCACTCGGTTTAATGGCCGTCAGATTAGTAGGAAGGAATTTCGAATCAGTGGCGTGCCCGCCACCAACCAAACACCTACCACATCAAATTTTAGCCGAATATTTTGTGAATAACATTAAGTTAAAGAGATTATTTATACTTAAGGCGATGTGATTAGTAAATAAGGTAAAAACCTTCAAGTTCACCATTAGCGGAACCAGTTTTTTGTGGAGCAGTCTCTCAGTAATTCGGGGTGGTGTTAATATGTGCATGATTACAAATAAAGGCTGGTAGTTAGCTAGGTCTGGTATGTAAATATTTATCCAAAGAGGTAGGAATCGCGCGATGGATGAGGTCGATCGTCGTGACGGTGCGTGTTTTTTAAGAAAACGAACACTCGGACTGGACCCTAACAGGCTCACAGCCAGTTTGGCAGTACCAGACTGCCGCGTTGCCAAATAAAAAACCCGCTGCACTTTCCTTCCTATTACGCCAACACAACGCTCATTAGTCGCTCGTTTTCGTTGTTATAGAATTGTTTTTTTCGAATCTCGAGTATACCTAACTTGTACTTAAGAGGTTTAGTATTATATTTTTAATGAGTAGTAGGTATACAGCATTGTTGTAGATGTGTTTGGTAAGTAAAGGAAGAGCAATAGTTTGATTTGCATCAACAAAAGCGTTTGAAAAACCGATTGTGACTCAACGACATCGAATTCGTCGAATCGACCGAACCACCTTGAACGCCGGCCGATTTTAAAAAATGTGCCGAGCTAAGTGGCGACCGTCGGCAACGCCGCATCTGGGCACCATCCACCACTGAATGGTTAGGTAGACCAAAGGTGAGATAATGAGGTAAGGAGCGAGTACTGCGGGTGCCCCCGTGGGCCGGAGCGAGACGGAGAGATTTTTGGAATTCCACCCGCTGTATCTTGTTAAGTCATCTCGGCTCACGATTTGAAAGCCCGCTTTAAACATTCGACTGTGAGGTCTTGTTTACACTGCCAAATAAACAAATCGACTTCTCTGCGCTGCGTTACTAATTTTTGTTCGTTATTGCTGGAAATTCGCGCTGCGTACTCGGCGAGTGGGAAATATGTAATTTGTTCGAGAGGGTGCGCTTTCCACGCCCCCGACAAACAGATAATGGTGTTGGGTAAATGAGGGTGGACGTTCCGAGAAATCAGAAGGAAGCTGCCGTGCGGGCCCGTGCACCCTGCGGGCCCGTGAATGCCCGACAGGTTCGCTAGACTGGCGTTAAGGGAGGGATTCGAAGACGGCCAGATCGCCGTCGTTGATAAAAATTAATGGAAAAATTAGAGTGGTCGTCTCGACGTAAATCCAAATAACTAAACTGTCTTTTTTTCTATTAAAAATTTAATTTCAACTAGAATACTATAACAACTATCACATCTATCAAAAATACATCATTCCTGTCGTATCGATTAAATACAATTCATCGCAGTTTATCGTCTTATATTAAAAATGTTAAAACAAAAAAATATATCACAATCGGTAAAATAACACAGAAAAAAAAGGCCGCAAATTACGTAGCATGCTTCGTAAATGTTAAAAATACCTGAAACACAAAAACAAACATTAGAAAATAATCGCAAACTTCACCCAAACTACAACCCACCTGTTCTAAAGTACTTTGTCCCAACGAATAATCCTCGATGTTCAAATCGCCGCGTTTCGCCTCCTCCAAAACCCCGAACATCTTCGACCAAGGCACCGACTTGTCCGTAACGTAATAGCTCAGCAACTCCTGGTGCTTCTCCCTCAGCTGCGCGCCGGGGAACTTCTCCCTGATGAAGGCCTCTATGGACTCGGTGTCGAACTCGCCCGCGTTGGCGTTCTCCGAGTCCTTCTTCAGCTTGATGGTGAGAGTGTAGCCCTCGGCGAATTTGCTCTTCAAGTGCTGCGTGGAGCCTAGACACTTGAAATTCCCCGCCACCATTATGGCCAGCCTCGTGCAGAGCGCCTCGCATTCCTCCATGCTGTGCGAGGTGAGGATGATGCATTTACCTCTGTCGCGGATTTTGCACAAGGCGTTCCAGAGGTAGCGCTTCGTGGCTGGATCCATTCCTGATAATAATTGGTACTTACAATCAAAACCATTTGAGTAGAGTTAAAACTTACCAGTAGTGGGTTCATCTAGATAGAGCAGAGGTGGATCTCCGATGAGAGATATAGCTGTGCTTAGTTTCCTCTTATTTCCGCCGCTTAATTCTTTAACTTTCTTTTTTAAGTGCCTGTGAAAGTCGAATTCCCTGGATAGATACTCGGCGATTTTGGTGGTGTCGCTGAAGCTGATGCCTCGCAGCAGAGCGAACATCACAATGGACTCTTCGGCGGTCATGTCGTCCAGAAGGGCGTCGAATTGGGGACAATAACCGATTACTTTTTGCACTTGCTTCAATTGGTTTTTTATGCTCTTCCCGTTCACCTGGAAAATGTCCTTAAGAAACCACTCTGCAAGCGCGTTTAGGCATCGCTTACCCAACCATCGCCGTAGGAAATGTTCTCGTCGCCGGTCATCATTTTGAAGGTGGTGGTTTTACCGGCGCCGTTAACTCCCAACAGACCGAAGCATTCGTATTTTCTAACGCCAAGGCACAGACCGTTCACAGCCAAAAAGTTCTTGTAATATTTAGTCAAATCCCTGATGGCCAGCGTGTAATTATTCTGAATATCGGCTTCCGTAGCGACGTGTAATTTTTCCCGTTCCTCCGCCACGTCGGAGTCCTCGTTAGGCAAGATCTTGGGCTTCTTTCTGAAGAGCGCCCGCGAATAGAGATACCCGATATTCGAAAATACTTTGTACTCGATGAGCAGCAGCAATACGAACAAGAAGCAACCCGTCAGGAACGAATACAGCAAATTCCTGCCGATGCCAGGAGCTTCCCATTTGTAGTAACGCAAATCGGCATCTACAAAATTTACAGTTAAGTTATAGAAGAAGGTATGGATGAATTGCACTCACCGTTGCATATTTCTCGTATTCTTTCGTTCAACGACATCAAGCAAGTGTCTTTGGGGATGTGTTGTTCAGCGCACGTTCTCAAAATCGTGTTGCAAATCAAGTTAAACGAGTAAACTTTGTAGCTCTCGTTAATACCGCTGGCCAGAGAATAATGGGGGAATATCAGGAATATCCAATGCAAGGCGTTCCCCACGTATTCCAAGTCCAAACCTGGACTCATCAGCACTTGCACTACTAGGAAAGCAGCGCAACCTAATTGCAATTAAACATTAGATTGCGTTTTAATTGGGTAGTTTATTAGTTACCTCCAAAAATGCTTATTAACGTCATTCTGGTATAACCTGTTGATGGTACTTGAAACGAATAGGAAGCTAAGTAGAACAACGGAAGGAAAGCCCAACCGAAGTAGAAGAGTATAAAGAACATCCTTCCTGCGTAAAACACCAAAATTTAACTATATTATTAGTAATTCATAAACAACATACCGATATCTCCAACCGTCTTGAATCCGTCCTCTTGGAACAACACCATGGTGATCATCAGCACGCAGATCGTCAGCAAATAGGTGACCATATCGCAGAAGGCCGATGTCATCCAAAACACGTACACCTTAACGCCGGAGACGAACTGCAGGTGCTTCGAGTTGCAGTAATTCTCCCTGATGACGAACAGCACGTAAAACGAGGCGACGAAGGACATGCTGAAGCCGATGTTGAAGGCCAATTGGAAGCCGGTGTTTTGCCCGTTCAGCAGCTGGTTGACTTGCGTGTCCGGACTGTAGGGCAGCGGCTCGTTGGTGAAGTCGATGGTGCAATCGGCGCAATCGCCGATTTTCCGGTAGACCCCGTTCAATACGAATGCCAAGGATATGCCGGGGGTGTGGTAGGGATCGTTGTTGAACCAGGCTGTGACGTTCGGAAGAGGGTACGGTAGAATGGAAATGTTCGCAGTTTCGAAGGAGGCTCCCACCAGGTACCTTCTGCGCACCGCAATCGGATGTTCTGCTGTCTACAAATATTTTTACAGGTGTTGTTAAAGTCACTCGATTGATTGTTGTAGATAACGTACCACTTCTAGCATCGTTTTCGTCATGTTAGTAACGGTTTTAACGGGATGTCCGTAGTCGTGTAGGACTTTGATGTAGTAAGGAGCTAAATTGGAGTCGGTTTTCTCCATCAGAGTTATGGGGTTTTCGAATTTGTTCAATGTCAGCGGCATGGCCGGTAAGTTTCCCGTGTACTTGTGGCTTCTGTTCACGACGAAAGCGATAATGAGAAACAGAGTGGGCATGGCGATTTGTATGAGAAGAAGTATCCAAGATCGGAACGTTGATACGGTTTTTTTCATCAACATGGCTAGTATTTGGTTACCCAACAGCGTTGGCCCGTCCGAGTACGTTGGACTCATCGAAACGCTACCTAAAACATTTACATATTAAACATAATTGTCTAAATACTACAATCAAATTTTACTCACCTGTTGTGTTACCAATAGCAGAAATATTACCGTTATGAGTAGTACCATTTGCTAGTACAGTAGTATCTGCTGCGTTGTATAACTCTTCCTGACCATGATCAGCACCAACCCTGCACACATACACTCAATAATTAAGCTTTAATTGTATTTGTATACCTACTTCATAAACACTTCTTCTAGTGTAGTCAAAGATATTCCGTAACTTCTGATTCCCAAACGCTCGGAGTCGGATTCGAGCTGGCTCAGCATCGGTTCGAATACGCTCACTTGCTGGTCTACCAGTAGATAAGTTAGTTCGGAACCTACGTTGCTGTAAATCTAACAAAAAAATCGATTAATACCGGTTACAGTTACTGCTTTAAGCGTTTTTAATTACTTCGATATCTGGTATAAACTGCCTGATCAGCTGGGTGACTCGAGCCGGATCGCAATCGTGCGCCTTGTCCATGATCAAGCTATACCCAGCGCCGTACTTCTTCTTCAAAAAGAAACTCGACCCGCAACATTGGAGCTCCCCGCCCGCCATGATGGCGATCCTGTCGCCCAACAAATCCGCCTCGTCCATGAAGTGCGTGGTTAAGAGCATAGTCCTGCCGTCTTTTTGGTTCTGCAGGAGGTTCCACAGCGCTCGCCTCGCCGCGGGATCCATGCCGGCCGTGGGTTCGTCCAGCATGACGACCTTGGAGTTGCCGCAGAGGGCGATGCCCACGCAGAGTTTCCTCTTCATGCCGCCGGACAAGCGGCTCGATTTGCAGTGCCTCTTCGGCTCCAGCTCCAGCAACTCCACGTACTTGTCGATTTCCTTCGCGATTTCCCGCGCCGAGAGGCCCTTGAGCTTGCTGAAGAAGTATATGTGCTCGGCGACGGTGAGCTCGTCGAAGATTATATTGTGTTGAGGACACAACCCCAGGCTCTTCCTGACACCCGACATGTTCGTCCTGATGTCGTATCCGCTGATTTTGGCGTAGCCCGACGTGGGGGTTATCATCCCGGTCAACATGGACATCGTGGTGGTTTTGCCGGCTCCGTTGTGGCCCAATAGCACCGTTATTTGGTCCTCGAACATGTTCAACGTGAGATTCCTCACGGCGATTTTCGACTGGAACGTTTTCCTCAGGTTCCTAATTTGGATGCCGGGCGTGCCGTGTTCGGGCTCCTTTTCGAAGAACTCGGAGTGCACGGCAGCTTCCGGATTGTCCTGCACTGATATAGGTCTCGATTGGCCGCACCAGAACGTCGAAGTAAACGGAAAGTACCAAGGTTGCGGTACGCCGTACTCTCCAGGAAACACGGCCTCTACGTACAAAGCGATCAGAAGGTACAATATAGTATCTAGAGTTAGCATTATGAGAATAAGGCCTAGAGTTAGCGTATCGTCTGGAGTGTTCGGTTCGAAGATGTTGCTCCATTGGATGCCTGCAAGAAAAGTATGAAGTGTACTTGTTAATTATTATATTGACGATATTTACCTTCTCCAGTTCCTTCGTACATGAGGATAACTTGGAAGCCGAAGGCCATTGCTGTGTTAGATCCTAAACTAGCCATTAATTTCGTAGATAACGTTAACGTGTCGTAGATTTCCTGCATAAAGAGATACGGAGCGTAGGAGAGGAACCAAGCCATTCCTGCTACAGTCGCTGCTGTGTTTGCTGCAATGTTACATTTTATAATCCACGTACAAGTGCATTTCATCCACTTTTTATACCTTTGTTGAAAAACACGCTTAAAGCGAAGCAAAACGTTATCGTAGCGCAATTGTAGAACATCAGGAACATCAACAGAACGTACGGGCTGGCGTGAGTGAAGACCGTGTAATCGGTATTTGTGTACCACTTAACTTTCAGCAGGACTACCATGAGAATGGAGGATATCAGAAGGAAGAGGAAGCATTTCACGAACCAAGCCAGCCAGTGCAGCCAATTCGGCAGGCCCATAATTTTCATAGCTTCCTGAAAATCGTCAGATAAATACCCCAACCATCACCGGTTGCATTTCTTACTTTCAACTGCTTTTCTTTTTCTGTTGTAATGGATTTAACGGTGTTGATGCAAGTGTAAACGAAGCTCAGCATTATGATTATGCCCAGCATGGATTTCAACGCGGTCAGCAGGATGTCTTCGTACCATTCGGGATGCGCGAACCGGCGCATGTTTACCAAAGGAAACTGGTTCTCCATTAACCAATTTACCACGTCCATGTAGTCGTCTTTGCTGTAAGTTATGTTGTTCTTCGCCAACAGCAAACTAAGCGTGAGAAAATACTGGAGCCCCAAGAAGCCCTCTTTGTAGTAACCTGCAAGCTAAATGTTTATAAAGCGCTATAACGAAGTGTGCAGTTGTGCTTACTAGGCGCTGCTCCGGTGGTAAATTGGTACAATCGAGGCCCGGGCATTTGGAATACGGGAAAAATGAGATTCGTCCTCCAGTTGTTTATGTTAAACGGGTCCAATTTGAGCCTCGTTTCGCCAGGAAATCTGGAAATTTTACACGAATCTACCAGTTTTTAGGTGAGGATATTTCGCGCTGCTCACCTTATGGAAACCCGCAAATGCTTGATGTCGTTCAGATGCGTGGCGTTTACGTAGGAATCGTGGAATTGTATGCCGGCGAAGGTGTAGTTGGTCGCATTCGTTAGGAAGTAATTCTCCAACTCGTGGGAGTTCCCGAGAGGCACGAGGTTCTTGAAACCGATGCGGAAGTAGCTCATCACTTCGTCGAAAAGCGGCGTGGAGGGCGAATAAACCAGCGAAAATTTCCTGAAAATTCATCGCAAAATAGTGGAAGAATGTGAGTAAGGCGGAGTGATTGAATTCTACTCTAATCGACTCTTTTTTCGTATCTTAACCAACGCACTTTTACAAACAGAAATTGTGAGATCGTGTAGAAATAAAGCGGTGTTGAAGAGGTGTAAAATAGTGCGATTTACTCATACCTATATCTCAAATCTGGCGTTGAGAACTCAACTTCGCGTCTTTTGCGCAGATTATTCGGTTGACTAAATTAAAAGAATATCAAATACATATAACATAATTATCTATAAACAATTTTTCAGCAATATAAACTTACTCTAGTGGATTCAAAACGTCCTCGTTATCAGTTCCATTCGTTATTTTATCTAATAGGGGAAATCCGTCGTACGTGGGACACAACAGTGCACCCGTAGAGGGGTCTTTTAATCCTAGTGGAATGCTGCAGAAAGGCTGGTAAACTATAGCTTCGTGCAGCTCGGGATCCGCTAAACTTCTTATCACTACTAGTAGTATGGAAAATAATACTGGCGCGATGATTTCCACGATGGTTTGGACGGGCTTGCGGTACTGGAGGAGCCAATTCTTCCACATAAGCAGAAGGAACTTGTCCAGTTTCTCCCCCATTGTGCCTAAACACAACAAATTGTAAGTGCTCAACTTTCCATGCAGGTACCTCATGATTTCAGTTGTAAGAATCAATTATTATACTAACAAAGTTGTGCGGTAGGATTTAAAGAGTACTAACCTCCCCATTTTGCGTTAAGTACCGTTTTTTTTGCGATCTGCATGCCCTTCAGGAACATATCCGCAAAATTAAGCTACGAAAATTTTAAACACAACAAACACCGTGATTGTCACGGTGATTGACAAACAGATAGAATTGTACTATTTCAGTAATAAACTCATCAAGGATATTTCGGGTAATTTGGGTAAAAGTGCATTCAAAAGGTTTTTGAGAGTAATTGCATAAAATATATAAATTTTAGTATCTGCACAAATAATCGTTGCTTTCGAATAAACTAATTGATGAAATTTCCATGTAAGTGCATTCAGCATGTAATTTCATTGTTACACGAATACGTTAACACGCTCAATATACCTAATAATATATTCTTAATACAAAAGGTAATTTTTTTTATTAATAACCTTGACTTCTTGATTCAACAATAATGTAATAAAAGACCTTGACATGTTGATCGATACTGCTAATGTACCCAATAACAGCAGATTGAATCTCGATTTCTTTCAAATGTATATCGAATAATTATAATATAACAAATTGTTATCTTGTGTTTGGGTAGATATGTGGTTTAATCTGCTTGGCTTTTAATAATTTGCCAATGACGTAAAATGTAATAAAATACCAGGAAGGTAATAATTAAACGTAAACACAGCGCTGTATTGAGAAATTTTCGCGGATTTCCAACGCTATATAAAACGAAAAAAAAAACAGAGCATTCCCTGAGGGCTCATTAAAAATAGAATAACCAGTTTTAAATATTGAAAAATACACGTTATCCAAGACATTAAATGGTAACAGCATGAATTATTAACGACGAATCGATGCTTTTCCAACAACTAAAAAAATACTCTCGGTACCGTTCTACATCTAACTACCTCACCTGTTCGTAGAACAGCAATGTCACGGTCGCGTTCCCCATTATTAACCAACGTGTAGGAATACTTTTCAGTCAAAGGCGTCGAAGAGAAGTTGCTCATTATCGGCTTTATCACAGATCAATTCGAACTTAAATTATCTAAACACCGACGCTTTTAAACCGGATTTTTCAGATTCACGCTGAAAAATCTACTCATTTTCGCGTCCACGCGACTCAGTAGCCTTCATCAGAGTCTAGCCGCGACTGTGCTTGAAAATTTACAGCGAATAAATGTTGATAGGGACTGTAAAAATGGTATTAACGCAATCATGATTCATTATTCCGTGCGTTACTATCGCATAGTTTATAATTTACTGGCTCGTTAATTTTGTGGGTATATGTTTATGTAATAGTCCCTTTATGTCCTGCTTGTATCGAATAATTAAACGAAATGTGTACTTTTAACCCGCATATAAAATTTATGTTTCCCCGAAAATAACCTTATTAAATAAAAAAGAATAATTGGAATCTAATCGATTGGTATATTTCGACGAATAGTATCAAAAAAGGTGATTGGTCAAGGAACAATTTGATTAATACATATTGTGGTTTTGATGGAAAATTTTTGAAAAATGCTCGAGACATAACAAATTCTCTAAGAAGTTTTTATACTGAAGAAGTGCATTAAATTTGAATGGAGTTAGCTAGAGTTCAATATTTGAACTATTAGCAATAGTTTCGAAAGAAGAATACGACCATCATCAGGTCATAATTAGTGATACAAAAAATATTATATTTAGCCTGATGATGATTGAATTCCAGTGAAACTAGTTTCGCAATAAATCTCCCAATATTTCATGCTGTTCACACCGTACAATCGAACGAAAAAAAAAATCAATAACCGCGACATTAATTAGGAAATTATCGGTATCAAACAATCTGGTTGCATCACGAATTCCGCGATGATGCCGTTCGAGATCAAAAAATAGACGCGCAGTTTTTGCGCACAGCAAGCCGCCCGCTTACCCAGATTCGTGTATCCTGTTTCCCTGCGAGATCAAGCCACCGATTCCATCGTTCCTGCGGGGATGATTCCGTTCCGGGGAGCGCGACGGACGGCCAAACCAAAACAACTAACCCCCTTGTAGTTCATCCCGAAGCGCTAACGATTTTTAGAGGTTATGCGGCGACCTAAAAACTGAAAACCGAAACGCGTGCGCCCGCTGAAAGCGAGACCTCCGACCCTGAAAATCCCGTAACGCTGACGCTGACGTCGGGAAATGCTCAATGAAAACGCTCTCGGGTCAATGTCTAATCTAATCTAGGCGATGCACTCGAATTTGCGTGCCGGGTTTCGGGATGTTTCGTTGTAATAAAAGAGGCGAATAATCTGGCGATTTGTTTATTTCATGAATGGAATACGAAGAACTTTTTGTTAGTTGCCTCCGGATTATAAGGGGACGGTGTTTACTCCTGTGTGAGTCCTTGCGAAATCTGCGGCTGTCATATCGGCGAATTCGTAGATAGCTTTGCTGGAAGACACCAGATTTTGCTTGTACTGTTTGTTGTGTTCCCTAATCATTTTGTAATGTTCCATAAAGATGCCTTTGCGTTTGGTCTCCTCCTCCGGCGTTTTGTAGCTCTTGTTGAATTTCACCTGAAATAACCATCACAACGCAATCATAACGTGACTTCTCTCTACTTTACTCAACAATTTTTAAGCTGCAATAAATTATTCGAGCCAAATAAATCGATAAGGATTTTACATTTACAAATTTTAGGAAGTCGTGTACAAAGGGGTGAAATTGTAGCGAAAGCTCAAACTTACCACGAATTGTCTCCATGCGTCTTCGGGGTCTTCGATTTCTTCGATTTTAACGTTGTTGGACTGTTGCACCGGTGAGGCAAAAGCCACAGCGACGAAGAGGAACAAGAGCAATAATTTGGCGTTCATTTTGGAATTTTTTTACAGGGATTTACGGGTGTTGCGACCTACTTATACTCGAAAAGAGCGATAAACTTTCAACTTTTATTCGGAGTAATATCAGGTTAATTTGATATTGCCTAATGGTGGTGATTAAATTTGTTTTCGAAAAGATGGAATTGTTCTAGACATTATGTTTTTTGTGATTAATTAGAGGGTTTATCATTTTTTTTTGTAGATAGAAGGTAATGTCACATCGTGTTATGTAATAAGATGATTGTGGTTTTGTGATTTACTTCTATTATCTCTAGTTATTTGGAGAATAAATAAAAATATTCGTACAAAGAGATAATTCCTAGTAATATTTACTACAATAATCTCTAATTTGGAGAACCGATAACCGAGTTAAGTGGAACAAATTAATGTGAAATTGAAAAAAAATATGTATTAGCTTTTCACTAGGTTCTTTTTGTAAGTTCTTTGAAATCGTAGATAGAGAAAGAATGATATTGTGAGATTGCAACTTTCCCATTCTAACCACTGTTATAGATTTTTAACGGACCACAAAACTACAATTCTCTAATAAAAAAAACGTGCAATTCCAGTTAAAATTCATAAAATTTAACAGCAACATCGAGCCACAATAATGAAACTAAAACAACGCAAATAATACGGCAAATCCTTTATTCCATCAAGTTAAACATGTACAAAACATTTTCATCGTTGGAATATACATTTCCTGGCACATGCGGGGGACTGTTCAAGCTTGCGGGATGGCACCTCTTACGCCGCCGTTGTGTCCTCGCAATCCGGTGTGAGTCCTTCTGAATTCTTCCGCCGTCAAATCGGCGAATTCGTATATACCTTGACTGTACGACACTTCGTTATTTTTGTATTTCTTGTTGTGCTCGGTAACATCCTTGTGGGTATCCAAGAAGATGGCTTTGCGTTTGTTCTCCTCCTCCGGCGTGTCGTATTTCTTGTTGTATTTTATCTGAAAGAAGCGCTTTGTATGTATCCAAATCGAACAAGTACTTTCTTTCACAATTAACACGATTATTTTATCCAGAAATACCCTCAAAAAATAGACCTTTTTCTCGTCGATTTAACGTTGTCACTCCTTAATTTAAGTGACTACATACAGGATGTTAATTAATTGAGTGGCGATGTGAATATTTGGATGATTTTAAGAAGAAAAGTTTGTATTAATACATGTCCTAAATCTCTTAATTTTTGGAGCTACTTAATTTACGAAGCTGGTCCAAGAGGATCAAACCATCAACAAGCTAACTTTAGGATGTTTAAGGAAGCCTAAAGTAAGAAAAATAGAGGCTAGATATTGAAATAAAACTTACTTTGAATTGTCTCCAAGCCTCCTCGCGGTCTTCGATGTCTTCGATTCTGAGATCGTTCGACTCGGCGTTGGCGAAAGCGACGGCGACGAACAGGAACAAGAGCAACAGTTTGGCGTTCATGTTTGTGATATTTAACATGAATTGTCTGATGTTCGGACCTATTTATACATGAAAAAAACTATTAAAACTCGATAAACTTTTAACTTTTGTTCGGAATGTTTTATTTGTTGCGTTGCGCAATCGTAGCGATTATGATTGTTTTCAATAACAGAAATTTCCAATAACTATTCGGTTCTATAATTACGGTCGTGGTGATTAGAAAAGTTGTCGTTTAGATAATTAATGAGGAATTGATCAATTTTTTTAGCCATAGAAAATTTTACATAATAATTAAAATGTTTTTAGAAATTAGTTCCACTATCTTTAGGTTATCAATTTGGAAAGAAAATATTCATCTCTTAACACAAATACTCAAACAATTGTAGGTAATCATATTCTAAAATTAAATTCTTTAAGATTAAAAAACAATGTAATAAATCAGAAAAAACACTCGAATTGAAGTAGGACACAACATATTGAAACGAATTGAGTATCAAATTGAGGAAATTAATCAAAGATAGAAACAATTTACGTACCTTCGCACTTCACTCACTACTTTTGTAAGTTCTCTCAAGAACAAACATTCGTGCATACATAAAAAAAACTATCACAACACTCCCTACTTACAGATAGAAAGGTTTTTAAAAAAAAGTCTCGATTTGGACGAAAATCTTTCATTTTCTATATAAAAAAAAATATATTACAATTAGAATTAATACACTGTATATATACAGAGATTCATTTTATGTTTATAGGATTTTGTCCGAACCCTAAATAAATTAAACAACTTACTTTTTGCCTTGTTCAATCAATAGACGCGCTTCGAATACTTAATTGCCTACTTGTCACGTACACACCGCCTCCGGCACGCCGCCCGCCGCCCCCGCCGCATTCGCCGACGGATGGGATGGAGTCGTTTCCGGCGATATGTTGTTAATACTGCAATCCGAACCCGCTAGACTTATGTTACTACTCGAATCTATGTTGATCGAGTTGTTGGAACTTTCGTCAAACTAAAAATGTACAAAAATTATGCATAAGAAAGACTCCACACACACAAGCTCGCGCAGCGAGCGAGATATCTTAAATTAATAACTAAGTTCGCTAAGAGCGAAGTGCTAAGCACGTCATGCTTAACATCTTCAGTCGAGCTAAATATCTTAAAACTAACAATAAGTTCATTACGAGCAGAGGACTAGGCAATTATTTTAACATAGAATGCATGAAGTGATTCTCTCCTAAATATCCTTTATATTCAATGGAATATAAGCCTTCGTACGAGCGACTTTTAACGAAATATATCTAATAGAAACGTAGTACAAGTAATTACTTGAGGATTGATATCTTCGGACAATCTCATGTTCTTTTTACTGACGCCTTCGCCGTCGTGTGAAGCCTCGGCCGTCGTCCGTTTCCTATTGGCGTCGGCGGCTAAGCCGTTCTTCGCGCTGACGCTCAATTTCCTCTCGCGCTTGATCAAACCGGGCGCCAGATACTGGGAGAGCTGTTTCCTCTTGACGTGCTTGGCGTCGATGCTCATGCCGGTCTTCCACATTTGAATGGTGGCCGCGTGGTTGCTGACGTGCTCGGTGAACGTTTGAATGTCGCGCGTCAGATCGACGCTGATGTTCTCGGTTTTGGCGAACTCGAGCCCGATGAACCACATGGAGCACAACGTGTTCGGCTCTTTGGCCGATTCCAGCATGGCGTAGCTCTCCGGGTTGATGTGCGCTAGTGTTATGTAAGGGTTTCGTTCCAAATTGCCTGGAAATTCGTCGTTTTTAGAGAGGCGACGGGCTCGGATTTATCGCGATCCAACTTACCTACTAGTAATCTGGCTTTGCTTTCTACGAGACCGCACCATTCGAGGTGGTCGTCGGCGTTTTCGGCCATGGCCAGTAGTACGATGAAATGCTTGTACTTGGTGAAGAAAGGAGGACGTTCGAACAGTTTGTCCCACGAACATTTACCTAGTATTATATCGTCCGTGATGATTAGACCTTGCTTGAACTCCTCCACCATTATGGTTCTGGTTGAATTAGATACGTTGAACGTGGAGTTTTGTTGCGGATAAGCTGGCGTAATGATCGGCATCAAGTGATACCTGTCTTGAATATTTACCTGTAACAATTACATTGCAAGTTAGTTAAGTTTATATAAGAATGTGGGTTTAATACAGACCCTAGGATCCCAAACGACGAAACCAAGATTAGCGTTCGACGGTTGTTTTAGTAATACTGGCTGTGGCCATTGCCACTTTGAAAATATTAAAAAGAACTTGTTAACCAGCGTCGAAGGAGCTGCGTTTGGATACAATTGGCAAGTTCTTGCAACGAGCATTGCCCAAGATACACCACCCAAATATCCTAGTACGTTACTGTATATACCGTGTCCTGAAAATCGGGCGATATAATCCAATTTTTAGGAGACAAAGTGTGAACTTACTTTTCGCCCATAGTTTAATGGCTCTCAAGGCGAGCCTAAAGTTTTCAATGTTAGGCACCAGTCTTAGGATCTCGTCAGTAACTCTACAACCGTTCAAACTGCGCACACATTTAGGTTCCAGATGCTTCAGCAGCATATCATCTTTCAAATCCATAGAATCGGGGATTTCCTTAAGAAGTAATTGCGCAAAAAGCATATCTATTTCTATGCCATCGAAAGTCATTTTAATTACAGGTACATAAGCCTCCTCTACAGCCTACATCAAACCATTATTAACCGAATAATCGATGCAAAAATTGCGACTTACCCTTAAATCTGTGACTTCGGGTTGTTGCTTGAGTAGTTCGTAGAATGACGAGAAGAAATCGGCCCTGCAAATATGTCGGGGAGCTACGCAAAGGGCATCAATATCGGCCCCTTTACTGTGAACCTAAAATCACCGTGTCAGAACAAATTGATTAAATGTAATCATTTCAAAAAAGGGAAATATACTACATAATTACTATTTGTTGTTACAACATTTAATTTATACTCATTCAATAATAAACGTATTTATATTGATCTTTATAACAATGCACACAATATATCCTGTAATTGTTTGTCCATTATTATTCCTTCTATTGCATATTCAATAGGTAATTGTAATTGCTTCTCTTCGTAAACTACAGTACCTTTTAATAGTTGCTGGTATGTTGAGGTATCTTCTAGTCAACAAATGTGCTTAGAAGTGATTAAATAAATTAAAAACAAACTTGTAGCCAACATATTAAGATCTAAAGCAATACGTTCTAAAATTCTTCAACTATCCGTAAGATATATCTATGTAAAGTAAGTTGTAATAGGGTACGGAATGTTAATACTTACTCCCAATCTGTAACTACCGAATGTGTAAACTTTTCCTCCTACACTTTCTGCAACACTTTCAGGCAAATTATGCCTAAGGGAGACCTCTTTAATCCATTGTTTCACTAAAGTATACAATTTTCCTAAAATATGCATCCTTTTGTTGAGTTCTTGTTCACTTTCGAATGAATCGAACGGTTTCAATGTTTCTATGAGTTCCTTAGTTTGGACCAAGTCTGTTGGTTTTGGGGCTGCTACAGAAATCGCTGAGGTCATCCCGAGGGTAGGTAGCTTGTCTTCATTTTTCTGCAGCAGGTTTTCTTTGTTGTTTTGGGTAATCTGCATACCTTGTGTTTGCCACATTTTGAAAAAAAACGTTCCTTGTTTACTGTATAAATCGATATGTTTTGCCTTTTTTGTTACGCTACACACCAAAAATCTTAAAATTCTTCACTTTAGGAATCAATGAACAACTACGCTCCTCTCCTGTATAATAAAAACAAAGAAACAAACAAACAGACGCATTCAATAACTTTACGTTACTTACGACTACACGGAAACAATACAAAAACTGCGTTATTACCGAATTTATTCATTTCTCTATGAAAAACATTAAAAAAATATAAGTTGAAAACCTATAAAATTGACGTTTCCGTGCGTTCATGAAATTTCTCTTCACAAAATGACTGTCATTGACACGATTGACGTTTGCTCCGAGCGGCAACTGCTAAATTCAAAAATCCCTAGAATCCCCCTAAAAAAACCGCGTGACTAACTGTTTTCCTTCAATAATAAAGGCACTAGTCGATCTCAAATCACAAATCACAATTTATTTCAAGGTTAGGTTTGTGACATGACGTTTAGAGATTTTGAGAGTAAACTTCATGTCAGAAACTGGAAACTTTTGTAATATCTTTGTATTTTTTATATTTATTGTTAGTGTTGTTGGTGGAAAGAGTGGAAAGTATAAACAGCATTTAATTTGTTAGTTTTGAATAGTTTCTAATTTATTTTATTTGATTGACATCGATATTTACCCAGTAATTGTTCCTTATAAAGAAGTGTTAGCATTCATTTCTGTTTACAACGGAGCGAGTTCAGCAGTGACCTACTTATTAGTAAAAGCAGACGTGTAGGGTGCAGTCGAAGATATGGCATCTTTAGAAGATATTTGCAAAAAACAAAAAACTTGCTTACAAATAGCCACTAATGTCACTGAACAGAAACACCACGTTTCGAGGGCAAAAAGGGGCCAAATTTTGGGCCACTTGCGAGGATTTAGGGGCTGCACCGTTTGGTTTACTGGTTTCTCAGGGGCAGGTAATTTATCACCGCTCAACCAATCCCAAGAATTTATAAAAATCTGTTGTTTAGGTAAAACATCCATTGCCTTCGAGCTCGAAGCCTATCTCATATCACACGGCATTCCGGCATACGCTTTAGACGGAGACAATCTCAGGACAGGATTAAACAAAGATCTGGGTTTTTCCCAAAGGGATAGAGAAGAGAATATCCGAAGAGTGGCGGAAGTTGCAAAGTTGTTTGCTGATGCCGGGCAAATATGCGTATGCAGCTTCATTTCCCCGAACGCTGCAGATCGCAGAATAGCCCGCATGATCCACAAAGAAAACGACCTAAAGTTCTTTGAAGTTTTCATCGATACTCCACTGGAAATTTGCGAGCAAAGAGACACGAAAGGATTGTATCACAAAGCAAGACAAGGTGCTTAATTTTATCAGAATTAATAATGATTATTTACATTGATAATTGTTTTAGGTATTATCAAAGGATTTACTGGGATAGATCAGCCTTATGAGATGCCAGAAAGTCCGGAACTTGTTGTCAAAACAGTTAATTGTACCGTTGAAGAGAGTACAATGCGAGTGGTGGAAATGCTGCAAGATAACGGTGTAATACCGTTTACAGAAGAAGATAAAGATCAAATTCCGGATTTATTCGTACCGAAATACAGACTAGCCAGTGCACTAGAAGAAGCCGAAAGTTTGCCCAGATTACAAATCACTACGTTAGATTTACAGTGGCTTCAGGTATTAATGCATAAGAATCATTCAAATTAAACACAATATTTCAGATCATTATGATTGGTTTTCTTTTAATACCCATTATAGCTTTTTAAAAATTAGATTAGATATTACGAAATTTATTACCTATTGTTTGATAATTTATTGCTTCGATGGAAACAAAACTAAAAATACCTAATCAAACATATTTTTCCAAATTGTAGATAAGAGTTACACAACAAAACATGATACTATAAATTTTTTTAGATTCTCGCAGAAGGTTGGGCTTACCCTTTGAAGGGTTTCATGAGAGAGGACCAATTCCTCCAAACCCTGCATTTCAATTGCCTGCAAAACGAAGGGAGCCCCATCAGTCAGAGTGTCCCCATCGTCCTACCCACCACCACCGTTGACATGAACCGCCTCAAGGACGCTTCGGCTATAACCTTGCTGCATAACCACGAATGCTATGCCATCCTTCGAAAGCCCGAATTCTACTTCGATAGAAAAGAAGAGCGAGCCGCCAGGCAATTCGGAACGACCAACAAAGACCACCCCTACATTAAAATGATCAACGAGTCCGGGGATTGGTTAGTGGGAGGTAGATAACCGCGCTGTACTCGTAGAATCGATCTAAATATATGATTTCTAGGCGAATTGGAAGTGTTGAAGAGAATCAAATGGGACGACGGTTTGGATCATTATCGGCTTACTCCCAACGAGCTGAGGGCTAAATTCAAAGCGATGTCCGCTGATGCGGTGTTCGCGTTCCAGCTCAGAAATCCGATCCACAACGGCCACGCGCTACTCATGAACGACACCAAAAGGCAGCTGCAAGAAAGGGGCTACAAGAAGCCGGTTTTGCTCCTTCATCCGCTCGGTAAGGGGATATTTTATCGGTTTAAACGAGCGATTGAGCACGTTTTTTCTAAGGCGGTTGGATCAAAGATGATGATGTTCCATTGCCCACGAGGATTCTTCAACACGAAGCCGTCCTAGACGAAGGCCTCCTCGACAGGGCTTCGACTATTTTGGCCATCTTTCCCAGTCCTATGATGTACGCCGGCCCCACGGAGGTCCAATGGCACGCCAAAGCTAGAATGAACGCCGGAGCTAATTTTTATATAGTGGGAAGAGATCCTGCCGGTATAACCCACCCAGCGGGTAAAGATGCCACGCCTGATGGTAATTTATACGATCCCATGCATGGCGGAAGGGTCCTCAAAATGGCACCAGGTATATAAATCTTACATAAAACGATAGAGTTTGTTATACAGTCTTTTGAAGGTTTGGTGTCGCTGGAAATCATCCCGTTCAGAGTGGCTGCGTACGATAAGAAGAACTCGAGAATGGATTTCTTCGATAATACGAGACGAGAGGATTTCGAGTTTATATCTGGCACGAAAATGAGGACACTGGCTAGAAACGGAGACGCTCCTCCCGACGGTTTCATGGCACCCAAAGCTTGGAGAATACTCGCCGAGCATTATCAATGTTTGCAATAAGGCAAACTATTCCAGAATCTTTTCAAACTGTCATGTTCATGCTTTTGTGTGTTTGAAAAGATTGTTAATGAGTACGTGTACAAAACGTATATCTCACATTTTCTGACATATCTTCAGATAAAGAAAAACGCTATTGTCAAACGATAGTGGATGGTTTCGATTTTTTTGGCTTTTCGAATATGTTTTCAGTGTACAGGTAAATGCTAAATTGTTTGCAAAAGGGTGCAACAAAGACAATAAAAAGGAAAGTATCTCGTCTAAAGGAAAAATAATGATATTGTGGAATTGCAACTTTCTCACTCCAACCCATTGTAATTTTAACAATCTCTCTTTGTTCAACTCATGGAATTAACCATATTGCAAACAATTTTGCTCTTATGTATATTTCTAGTCATCTAAAATCTTTATGTTTGTGCCATTCCGATCAAGTTTTCAATTTTTTATACATTGTTAAATTTTAAGAAAAAACTCAAATTTTACTCGAAGAAAACCAGTATTATATAATTTTGTATTAAATTATTATTTGTGCCGGTGATTACCATTATTCACTTTGTTAAATATGGCAGTCTATGCAATGTTTTTAATTGTTTAATGTATATCCTTTTATGCTTATCAGCGAACAAGTCAATATCTATGCTTATTAGAATCTATTGGATATTGTAAAAATATATAACTGTTTATTAAATAAATAAAATAATGGTTGATAAATTGATATTTGTATTCTGTAAAATCAACAGCTTATTTCCATTGCTACCACCTGAAATTGTGTTACCAATGATCAACGCCCATCTGCTTTTTTCTATCATTTGTATAAAATAGAGATTTTGATTGGTCAAAAATTTAGTTGGCAGCCCTAAAAATTCCCAAATTGTTGACATAACAAATGACATAACCTCGAAAAAAATGTTCAAATTTTTTATTTTCAATGTCATGGTGATTTTATCGTTTGTATCGAGGATATTAACATCCGGAACTAAATGCGAGTTAAACTTGAAAAATATGTGCGAATCAGCCGACAAGTTATTATCCCAACGAGCTGCTCGGTTAGCGCCGCCTCTAACTCAGGATTTGCACAAGGGACAGGCCGGTAGAATAGGCATTTTCGGCGGAAGCGTTGAATATACAGGTAAATAACACATATTTTACACAATAATTTCTTTAAAAATTATTACAGGGGCGCCGTATTTCTCTTCGATAAGCTCTCTGAAAGTGGGAGCCGATTTGGCCTACGTATTTTGCAATAAAGACGCTGCTACAGTTATTAAGTCCTACAGTCCAGAACTTATAGTTTTGCCTGTACTGGACGATCCCGAAGCGGTAAATAAAATAGAACCATGGTTAGATCGGTTGCACGTAATTCTCATCGGACCCGGTTTAGGGCGCCATAACAGTACCTTTAATGTAATCGAGAATGTTATAAACTCCTGCAGAGAAAAGAAGAAACCAATGGTAATAATAATTAAATAACACATTATATAAGTAATAATTCCAATTGTTAAATTGTAGGTTGTCGATGCAGATGGGCTCTTCTTGCTATCAAAAAAACCGCAACTGATAAAAAATTACCCGGCCCCCGTAGTTCTGACTCCTAACATGATGGAATTCAATAGGCTCGTAGGGCAAACTACGGGCGACGGCACGAATTTGGAACGATCCACCGATTTCCTCAATCGCTTAGGTGGCAACATTACCATCTTGTGTAAAGGCCACGAAGACGAAATAATCAGCAACGGCAAAAGCGCTAAAGTAGCAGGCGGTGGATCGGGAAGGCGTTGCGGGGGCCAAGGAGATTTGTTGGGGGGCTCTCTCGCCACGTTTTTGGGTAAATCACCAGCAGTTTATTCATCGACTATTTTACAGGATTATTTTTCTAGCTTGGGCCGTGACTAACAACGAGGACCCGGTAGTGGCCTGTTACGCCGCGGCAAGACTCGCAAGAGAATGCAACGCCAAAGCGTTCGCCAAGCACGGCAGGAGCATGACCACCACGAATATGATAGAAGAAATCCACGAGGCTTTCGCAGAGAATTTTGAATTGAAATAGCTGTAGGATTTCGTGACCCGTCAATATAGAACAAGACAAAATAGCCCAAGACAAGGACTGGTAAAAGGCTTTTTTTAAGACATTTTTTCTTTTTGTTGTATTTTATGGTGAATTGTATATTTTTTTTTATTTAATGCAATAATATACAGTGCGTTAAATTTTAATCCTACAACTGATGTTGATTCTACCTGCAATAATAGGTAAGTTTTAAGCACCTGAACTCATGCAATTCGCTCTTCGTTTTGTGAGCAGCTTTTGAAACAGTTTTGAAAAATTCGTGCTTGGTTTTGGGGTGAGCTATTTAAAACTTTAACTTCTTTTAGTGTGATATATGTGATAATATGTTCTTTTCTCTTAAGCTTTTAATTTTTTTGGGCTATTAGGCTATTTTGACGTGGGTACCATAAAATTAAATTGCAATTAAACATGTTTATTTATCGAAATAATTGAGTTTCATTCCGATACATGCACCTATACATACCTTTCTATTGCCCAGCGTTATCATTAATTCGACAGGGGGACGCGCGTCGGCGTCGATGGGGCCGTCGCCGGCGGTAGGGATGAAAAGTACGCGCGCTAAGCGCGCTTGGCGGGACTCGGGAGTTCGGCCGAAAGCGCTGCAGCGATAGGAAGAGTCCTGTTGGAAATAAACGCGCGCGCTTCGCCACCGTCACGACGCCGACGTTCGCACGACCGACGGAGAAGAGCCAGCGGCGGGTAGGTCGCGCCGCTTCCTATCGGGCGCCTCGCATCCGGGCGAAGGTTGGACCGGCCAGTTAGTTCGAATCGGTAAGTAAGGTCTGTGTGTATTTAGGTTGATTTCGTTGTTTGCATAGTTGTTGACCGGCACCGGCGGGACGAGTTTTCTATACCGTTTAAATTACTTTCGATTGGACGCCAAATACTCGGGTAATTCTCTTAAATATGATGGGATTTAATGCAAGAACCTTAGAATGAGGGCACTTTTTTGTGGATTAATTAAGTAACTTCTTCTACACAAATTTATGTAGGTTTATGTAAAAACGAGCTCGCGCAGGTAGCGAGACCTTATTCAATTGATGATCCTTCTTTAATAAAGAAAGACCTTTGAGGCGCCTATGGTGTACTGTTCAGGTTCTGTTACTACCTCCTGATGGCTAACGGAGTATAAAATTTCGTATTTTCGTAAAAAAAAAAATAGAAATTTGTGACTATTACTAGCGTGAAAAAATCTCCTTAGTTGATAAATTGACAACTCATATTTTTTCAAAAAACAATAATATATATTAATCGTAATTATTATACCTGATTTTTGCCTTTGTCGTTAATTTTGTTTTATGCCTACTATCTATTTCGAAACGGTCCGTTTGCATCCATCATTATAATTTTATTTTAATGGATTTTTCGTTTATTTTGCCGAACCGAAAATAGCGGCCGCAAAATGCATTCGGCAGATGTGAACATTTCGATTACATCGACATTAATGGATATTCCTGAAAAACATTTTGTAAACGTAATTTATTTATAAAATAATTCGGTTTATATCTCACACAACAATGCTTTAATTATACTAAATAAACAATCGTAGGCATAATCGAAATTAACATAATTTATACGTTTATTTCTAGAAATAATCAATTTTTCACCCTTAATTTAGGAGTACGTTCAGAGTCTTATAATAATAATAGTAGGTATTTCCAAAATTACCTAACACGATATATTTTTTATAGAAATAATCAATTTTCACCCCTAACTTTAAGCGTAGGTATCTTTCAGTTTAGAGTCTCATAATAATAACAACAATCGTTATTGTTTCGACATTAAGTGAAAACGCTCAAGCAAAGCTGACATCGATGTAAACAATTTATTAGCGGGGAATTCTGAACGCGAACTATAGTATATTTATTCAATATTACATCGGAAAACCGAGCGCGCTCTCAATATTCTCAATCACAACATAATTATAATCGAGTTGCTGCTCCGCCGTGTTGTCGGGAACGTTCTTAAAGGGCGAATTACGTTGGAAAGCTCGAGTTATTCTCTCGGTTTTGGCAAATATTTGACTAACTTTGTTTCGTATGGAAGAGCACAAGGATTCGCTTTTCCAGTTTATCAAGTTTACCGAAAACTTTGTATACCGACTTAGAAGGGTGGAGAGTGGCGTATAGTGTCTTTTAAAAGAAAATCGCGTTACTGTGCATAGTTTTCTTTAGAGCTTTAGTCTTAACTATAAAGCTTTTAAAGATTTTTTCACCTGGTGTTTTGTCATTCTTCATTTTAAACCGATATTAAAAGGATTATAGAAATGTATTTCAACAAACAAAAGTATATTTACAAAACTATTCTTCAAACTTTACTAGCACTTGGCAATATTACCTAACATTTTCGAAAATATAAGAAAAACAAGCTAATTAATCGGTTCTTTCGCTGTAACCGTGATCTTTATTGGCGGATTTTCCCTCTCGATTAGCGTAAGCGGCTTCGTTGTTGTAATAATTCGAATCGCCCTTAGCGCCCCTGTATCCTTCGGCTTCGCCGGAATATTTTCCCGTTTCCTTTCGACCTTCAACGCCGAATTTTCCATCCCTGTAGGCCGAATCTAACGATCCGCCCGCCGACGATCTACCGGCGTCCGAAGAAGTTTTCTCCTTGAAATCCCCGTATCTGCAGAAAATTTAATTATAGATATAATTTATGGAGGCAAGGAAATCTTGTAGTATGTCAAATAAAAAAAAATCCGATAATGTGTTGGTAGTGCGAATGAAAATAAAGGTGATACAGCACGCGATGGTAATAAAAAACCTCACGAACTCACCTGTTGAAGTATCCCTTTTGATCCTTTTTATCGTAGAAGCTCTTGTTCTTTTTGTACTCGTCCTTGTGGTAAACCTTGTGATAGCCGGTGGTTTTGGAGCCCTTGTCGCGGCTCTTCTCGACGGCGAAGGACCCGCCGCCGGCGGCCTCCCCGGCGCGGCGCTCGTCCGCGTAGTGACCCTCCTGGAGGCGGTGGCCGCGCTTGCCGCCCCCTCGGACGTCGTAGAACCCTTTCTTTTGCTCGGCCTCTCGGCTGCCCTTCGATCCGGCGGCGTATTCGTCGCGATTCGAGTAGCCCTTTTCGCCCTGCTCGCCGGCGCTCGCCTTTTCCGCCTCGCCGTAATCCGAGCCCGAGGCCTTGACGAAGCTGCGAACGAAGCTCGATTAACGGGAGATTTTCTTACTCTTATAAGAATGTTTAATTTAGGGTGAGGCGGGGCGTGTTAATAATTAGTATGTAGCCGTTTCAATTAGGGAATTCGTTGAATTGTTAATTAAGGATGAAAGGTATAGGCGGGATAAATGTTCGAGTAGTTTCTAGACTCGTGTTTAATTCAATCATTTTTGGCGTGGAATGTTCTTGGCAAAACTTGATCGACTTGAAAGAAAATGCGAATTTTCCGGAACTTTTCTCCGATGCGCTAAAAAATTTACGAACGTCGCCTAGAGATACTTCCGTTGAACCCTTTCGAGAAAAAATTGTAATTTAAAGTTTATTAAAAATTACTTGAAAAAAATAATTCATCCCTCCTAGATTTTTCACTCCGGAAAGTTTCTACTTAATTTACCATCTTCCTGCACTCATCTCCATCCATCCACCACACCAACATAATAATAAATTATTCGATCTACTCGTAAAATGATTGTAATAAATTAAATTCTCCATCGAAACTCACCCATTTTGGAAATCGTCGAAACCCTTCGCGTAGGGCATTAGCGCCTCCCCGTACGAATTAACGTATTTGCCGTCGTAGTTGGAAAGGTAATTGGGCGACAGGGGCAGCAGATGGAGCGGCACAGGATCATGAGAATATCTCCCCGTGGACTCTAACGGATTTCCCATTTCATCCGTATCGTAATTAAATGGCCCGCCGGAGTTCCCCTGCAAACGGACCCGACCACGTTATCCAACCGCAACTTGTGGTAGTATTATCGTTGCTAGTGTTGCCAACTTATTTTTTTTTGAATTATGGGTAATACAAACCTTATAGGAGTAGCTCGAAGCGGATGCCTGTAGGTCTTCTATGGCGGTATTTTTGAGGTACGTGATGCTCTTTTCCGAACACTTTGCGAAGGAAAATGTCGATAGGACGAGTAATAGTGCACCTAAGGTCGCCATACCTTTCCGGTTAGTTGCTGGAAAATCAAATTCGACCGCTGAAAGCCACTTAGATAGCACTTAGATAGTTTTACCGAGAGTGTATAAACAACCGTAATCAGCGCTCATTCTTATATACCTATTTTATTCGTCCGGCGGATTTTTCTTTCGCATTTCGAAATATCGATAAGGACACGGAATTTACACGGACTGTATCCGAAGGTATTGATTGATTGATGAATGTTTCCGGTTGAATTGCAACCGTGTTCCGGTAAATCGCCTAAGAACCGCAAAATTTCCACACGATATTTTTTGAGGTTTGGGGTCAATGTCGAGAGAGCCTACGATATCATCTCACACGCGCTTTTGATACGCTCTGTATATAGTCGTATTTTCACTTTATTTTATTTTATATATGTGCTTAAAAAAATTCATTTGCATTTACACGAGTATCATATCTCTAAATTAATATGCAAAAACCGATGCTCGGATTTGTTGTAAATGTGCATATAAAAAAACTCCGAAATGGAAGAGTTTTTTTTATTCGCTACAGGAGTAAAAAAATCCACTTCTAATAGGTTAAAAGCGTTCAACGGAATGGAAATATTTGATACGTTCCGATGCTAAAAAGTTTGTAAGTGCAGCAAAAAAAACGGGATTTATTTTCGCGCTAGCAGCCTCTACGAATAGGCGCTGGATATTCGTTAGCAAAATTAAAAACTAGCTGAATTAAAAATGATTTTAACATGTTATTTGAACGACGAGAGTTTTTTCAATTATTTCATTTTCACATTTGACAAGCTGGCTATATTAATTTTTCTACAAATATTTTACATATTCACTCCAATTTGGCGGTGAAATCACAACTAAAATATTCTTATAAAAGCTATATTTTTCGTCCAAAAATGCATATTCAGGTGAACTTATGAATAAGATTACCTTTACCAGAACATACAGCGCATTAAATTCAAAAGTCCAATTCATAAAGTTTATTATAAAGTTCGAATCAGATTTATTTAGGCGTCTTCCGGCAGCGGATCCTCGTTTTTTACGAGCCGCCGAAAAATCCGTACACGTAGAAAGAAAAACCCGCCGCAATTTTCGTTCGCCGTAATTTAATTTCGAGCGTAAAAAATTGAAGGCGGCGGTTTATTGCGGAGTTATTTTACCGCCTCTTTCACCAAGTATCGAATTTCCTCCGCCCGACGCTCGACGGGATCGCGGCCGAGCCGAGCTCCTACGTGAGAATTAGGGTTAGGCGTCGCCTCCAAGACGACGCTCCGCCGAATTCGTCAAACCTAATGCCTTTCGAGTAAATGAAGCGGTTGCATTACCTGAGAGCCTGAGGCGCGAGGCTCGAAACATACTAACCATCATCGAGATTATGATAATAGAGGAAATTGGAGCACGATTCATCCCACACTGAGCGATTATGTTGAAAAATAAGGGTTACATTTTCGCATAAGTATCTAATTACAATGTACAAGTATTAAAGCGTAAAAATTCTCCACGTAAGGTTAAAGATATAAATACCAACTAAAGCGATATAGGTTGATGGATATTTCATATCGGCATAAAATGTTTATGAAGCGTTATATTACATTATGTAGATTGATGTTTTCATCCTGCGGCGGGGTTTCTCCAGCTATTCCTGTTCCCTTTCTAATATTGTAGCAAGCGAGCGAAGATATTAATGCTTCTCCTTTCTAATACATCAGCCGCGATGATGCGTAGGAAATTATTCAGAGATTACTTACTTCCCTCCGTTACTATCGTTAGATTGTTAAGATTTTGATTAGAAAGTAAAACGAATATGCCTGATGCCTTATAAATTTAATGAACTCAATAATTAATAACCCTTTAAACCGGGAGAGTAGCGAATCTAGTTATTGAAGTTTACTTCTCTCCCTTTTCGATTTACTATATATGTAATATAAAAATCACGGCGCTTTGCTGTGGTTTATTGGGTGCTTTATTGCGTGTGAGGGTCCTTTTATGCGTTCGATTTGTAAATATAAAAATGAATTACAAATTCGGCGGGGCGTCGGTTGACATCGGAATGAAATATCGATGAACTGCTGAATATTTATAGGTAGATTTCGGGTGAACAGTAACCACCTACGTTCGTCCCGAAATTAATTCGGGGTCGCTTTTTGTTAGCTCTTGAAGTGGGACAGACAAGGGTGGGTTTACTTAGTGAATTAAAATGAGCGCTAAAAAACAACCGTATTTTCTATACACTTGGTTGAATTGCTTTACGGATTAATTAGATATAGAGAAGGTATTAGGTCATACCACAGTCATTCTGAATGAATTAAAATTTGCCGGGAAATCTTTGATGTTCGCAGAAATTGTTGGTCGAACGCAGACATTTATTAATTCGCCATTGTCTTTTGGTATTTTGTTGAAATGTTCCTAATTCAATTTCCGAACGAGAATCCAGGCGAGCAGTCGTTCCAACGAAAATTCATCATTCAATCAAAATAAACAAAATTAGAGCGCTTTATGGAAATTTCGAATTACCGTTTATATTTCAAGAAGTCATTTTCCGGAAAATGCCTCCCTAAGTGTGTGTAAAATTGATCAAGGCTGCTGAAGTTTATAACGCGTAACTAAAAATAGACTACACTTTTTGAGATCAATATAGTAACGATGATAAATTGAAGCTTATAATTTATTTACTCATTATGCTCGCGGGATTGGGGATTATTCGCTCCGATACAGTGATTTATTACTCGAATTTGTCATTCACGTGGAAGGAAATATATCAGAAGAGTGCATGTCGCTTGCACATCTCCATCAAGTTAATTCGCTCGCTAACAAACAAATACCAATTATTGGCCCGGCCATTATTCGCTCAAATAAATTTTATTCATTCGTCCATCAAATCTAGCACAAACTAAGTCTTACGGCAATTTAATTCCAGCGCGGTCGTTTGTTAATTAAAATATGTGTTGCGAAAATTTACAACGCACGATAACGAGACAATTTATAACCGGAACCGCCATTGCCATTTGCTCGTTATTTAGTTGTCACCTCGTTATTTAGTTAGCTATCGATATTTCGTGCTTTAGCTCGCGAGTACCTCACAATACTTATTCTACGATTAATTCATGTTGTATCACTTTTGAATATCAATGTCTGATAGTCAAACAACCCTTATAATATCCCATAAACTTTCTACCCCAAATTGGTATTCGCCAAACCGCACGCAAACATCTACCCTCTCGCTCCCTCCAACTGGATTCTCCCCTAAACAAGGGGTAGTTCGTTAGTTAATGTATTTCGGGCTCCTGTAAGGCATCCCGAAAGTTCGCTAACATATACTATTAGCAACATGTTCTGCTATTATATCTTTTTATGGAAAGTTCTTATAAATTATTAAACGGTTCAGGCTAGTAACAACGACGGTGGAAATTCTGTTATTAAAGCGTATTATATTAAGTTGCGAAAGCTGCATTTTATAGTCGCGCTAATAAAATCCAAAAAAATCAAACAGTACGGTTGAAATGTAAAAAAAAATCGGCGTTAACTTAAATTTAGCACCGTTTATTTTAAACGAGCGCAATTTTAGTTGGACAAACACGAAACGCGCGAAACGATCTCAATTGAATCCCCGACGAACCCGTTAGCAATTTGTAATCCAGAAACTCCAATCGCTCCGCTCCTTATTTAATCTTTGCCGATGCAGAAATCCGGTGCAGACCTATTAGAAACTCCCTAGTTATTCCAGTCACACGTTTTCGCAACAACTTTCGGCTCGTTATCCGGCCGGGTTCGTTCGTTTCACCAAGCGAAATCGACGCATTTGAATAGAAGAATAAAAGTAACGATAATTCTACACTCTTTTATGATTCATTATGTATCCTTTAATCGAGCTAAATACGGTTTTAACAACGAATCTTCCTAACAATAGCCGAAACAAGCGGGTCGGGACCGGCTCTCCCATCGGCCGTAGGTCGAGATTTCGCTCCAGGAAGCACTTAAATTCGCCCTGCACATACACACGAACTGTCCAACCCATCTCATCGCATTGTAGTTATCTAATTCAATTAAAACTACATCGAAGTTCGGCGTTATCCTCGCAGCGAAGTCAATGGGACCTAAGACAATACGGACGTTTATTCGTCCTGCTCCTGAAGTGTTATTGTAGCAAATCGTGGACATTTGAGGTTAGTGGAAATGAGGTCAAGTGTCAGTTTATATTGCAATAAATTTTTTTGAAAGTATAGCGTGTTCCACAGTCTCTGAGATTCAAATGCATGGGTGTCCTATATCTTCTTATGAGGGTCTATAAAGCGTAAAAAAAATGTTCAAAGATGGTTCGTATCAAACTGGCATTGGAAACAGCACCAGGGGGATGGAATTGGCGCGGATGTGCGGTTGATTAAATATTGATGAGGGTGGAAATTCGCATTCCCGTGTAGGTGTACAATATCGGCGTGCGTGCGATATGCAAATAGAGCCACTCGACCGATTCGCAACGGTACTTATCCGAATTCTCGGCAAATAATGCTCCCGTTTTATGGACGCGTTCGCGAAATTTATTACTCAATTATGTGCAAAACGTTCCGAACCGGGGCGAGATGAATGCGTTGTCGGGTCGGCGATTTCAACGCGCAATTTGTATCGTAATTTTTCTTGTAAATTCGAAATTACGGCCACCTAATCGGATTGTAAGGCGAGCGTAAGCACAACTGGTTGGGATTTACTGGGGGGAAATGCGCGGTCGTATCCCAGGAAATTTATTTGTAGTGGATTTCGATTTTTTTTGTCATTATCCGGCCGTTTTACTTAGTCCCGAGATGAGTCGGTGAATAATTTAGTGGGTAAAAAATAGGAACAAAATCGGAAAATTCCGAATTACAATCGAAAGCTGCTTTCTTTGTTCGCTGTGTTCTTATCGATTTCCCGTATAATTCGAGCAACTTCTTACATGCGTTTAGATTTTTCCAATAGGTATGATTTTAATTTCCCGTAAATATTCGAATATTTAATTAATTTCCATCTCCTCTTCCTTTCGGTATACCTACATTCG